TCCCACGTAGTTGACCGCGGTTCACGTCCCGGACCCGGTGGCTTAAAACTCACACCGGGTGCATGTGCTTGCGTGCCCAAGATCCCGAGAGGAGAATGGAGGAGAAGGGATTGCGGCGTGACCATCCCCCCTGGGGGGGTGACTTCTCGCTTTCTGTCTCTCTGTCTCTTTCTGTCTCTCTGGCGAGTGCACGTGCCCTATAGCAAAAACTTCTTAAAAAAATAATAAATCAGAGAAGCAGTGACAAAGTGCAACAGGTGATTTTACTGCTTTTGTTATTGGGTTGTGTTGGGAAAGTCATGATGCATCTTTGCATAGGAAACAGAAAAAATATCTCATGACTTTCCCAATGACCTCATATATTGCTAATTGTCTACATTGACAATAGGGTCATTGGACATTTGTCTGGAAGAATATACTACATTTCAAGGTTTGTGCTATTGAGAAAATGGAGATGTCAGATCATGTGTAAGAGAAGGAAAATCAGAAATCACACAGGGACTGGAAAGGATGGCCTGAGTCAAATGGAAGAATTTCTTTTTTTCTCCTAGGATAGAGTCATGTGAATGTGCTTGCAGAAGTCAGGTAAAGCAAAGGGGCCTTAGCGAGGTAAAAAGAGTAGGGATAAATATGGAAGCTTGGTTCCATGGTGACAAGATGCCTGAGATTTATATCCTAGGACACAAAGGATCATTTCCTCGAAGGCTTCTTCACAGATACTATTAACTTTCAAGGCGTGTGATGGGAGAAAATAATTTTCTATACCATTTCTCAGGGGCCATTAGCCATTTCAGGACATCGTAAGTAAAGCAGAGTCAGTGAGAACACAGTTTCCAGGGGCAGTGGCTTTAAGAATCTGGAGCTTGGTTTGAGGTAACCATGGTAACACTGCTGTTGGCTGCATAACATCTTGCCCAGGCTCTGCTGGTCTAATAACCAGGACTAACATTGTCTCAACTCCCAAATGAGGTGTGCCTTTTAACAGACTTTTGTTTGTTGGCTTGTTTTAAATAACTTATTTAATAAATCCACAAACCTCTTTTATTTTGGTTTCTGTAAAACCCAAATGGCTGAAAAGATAGAAATCAGGAGAGGAATGGTATTATTTTAAACGCATCATTCCTATTAAGTATTAAAAATAGTTATCACAACGTGATTAAAGATTTGTGCCATAATCAGCTGTTTTCCTGTTTTTACATTTTAAGAGTAATCAGATCCTTGTTTACACAATAAGGCCTTAACAAACTCTTTGTGAATAAAGCTTCTCCAGGCTCAGGAGTCCTGGTCTCTTTTCTACCTAAAGAGCTCTATTTGCAGGGATTAGGAGAGGAAGAACTCTGACTGTGGGGACCATAGATTTTGCTATAGTCCATACTGACCTTTTTGCTCAAAAACACGGATGGGAGTCTCACAGACTTTTGACACTAGGACACTTGGGAGTTTGGCTCAATGACCCCATTCCAAGATGGTCCCTCATCACCTATAACCCAATGAATAGATAGACTGTCATACTGGTAGTTTGTAATCCATGGTGGATTTTTTTTTTGGAGAGGTTTTCGCTATTGGGCGCGTGCGCTCACCAGACAGACAGAGACAGACAGAGAGACAGAAAGCGAGAAATCACCCCCCAGGGAGGATGGTCACGCTGCAATCCCTTCTCCTCCATTCTCCTCTCGGCATCTTGGGCATGCACGCACACTCGCCTGGCATGAGTTTTAAGCCACTGGGTCCAGGACGCGAACCACGGTCAACTACGTGGGAGTCCAATGACATAGCCATTAGGCTAACTGCTGGTTCCCCATGGTGGAATTTTAGCACCATGGTAATACAAATGCTGCAAAGCAGGCACCGCCACCAACCCCCATGTTGATTGTTAATCATTTATTGCCATACCAGTATCAGAACCTTTAACTGTCTTCAAGGACAGGGAAGCAAGCTTCATATCATGGTAGATTCTATGTGGCCATTAAATAATGGAAAATTAAAGAAAGGAAGAGAGCTATAATATTCAGTCAGTGCTCTTAGTTTTGGCTTAGTTATCCATATTACTTTGGAACAAGATGAAATAAGAGGTTTAAGATGAGATTTTTCTCTTCATAATCAATTTGAGAACATTTTATTATGAAAATCTATTTTATAGTAACCACATATTATTTGGTAGCTTGCTTCAGCCTTAAGAACCTTTTCCAACAAACTCTCCACTTCTCAATACCACCAGACCAATTCCTTTATCCCATACTATGTACATTACAGCCTTAGGATAACAGTACAAGTACACCAACCAACTGCTTATGATGATGATTATGATTTTAGTTTGTTATAGGGTACATGTGCTTGCCAGAGAGAGAGAGAGAAAAAAAGAGAGAAAGAATGAGAAATTGCCCCCTGGGTGGATGGTCATGCCACAGTTCTTTCTCCTACATTTTCCTCTTGAGATTTTTAGCATGCATGCACATACCCCTGGTGTGTTTTCAAGCTGCTGGGTCTGGGACTTGAACCACACAGTTGGGCATGTGGGAGCCAACTGTCTTTACCTCTATGCCATCTGCTGGCCACCAAGGAATTATTGAAAAATTGTCTGCAAACTTATTGTCTTTAGGGTATGTATTGTTAGAAGTCAACTATCAGTTTACTTTTTTTTTTTATCCAGAAGGCATGTTCACTCACCAGAGAGAGATGCAGAAAGGAAGAAAGAGAAAGCACCCCCTAAGTTAGGGGTGATCATGCTGCAATCTGTTTTTCTTCATTTCCCCATCCTGTCAAGATTTTGGGTAGGCACACACATGTGCCTAGTATGTTTTTCAAGCTACTAGGCCAGAATTCAAACTATGGTTGACCATGTGAGGTACAGTTTCCTTAAACACTAGGCCATGGGGTTAGCCTCATTTACTGGGCTTTAAAATCACATGGAGGGGGCCAGCCAGTGGCGTGGTGGTTAAGCTGCTAGATACCACATGGCTGATTGTGCAGTTTGACTCCTTGACCCAGTGGTTTGGAAGACATGCCAGGCACATATGTGTGCATGCCCAAAATCCTGAGAGAAGAATGGAGGAAAAGGGATTACAGCATGGCTGTTCCCCCAAGGGGTGCTTTCTCACTTTCTCTCTCTCTCTCTCTCTCTCTCTGGAGAGCACACCCACCGTATAGCAAATATTTTTTTAAAAAAAGGCAGAAGGAAACTAAAATGCGGAATAGTTTCTCTCCTCAACCACTTATAGACATATCTAGGTATCTTTTGTATCATTTTAGTATTCTTATCTCTGGTACCATTCTTACTACTTTTTTTCACTCTAAAATTCTTACTAGCATTTTTTCCCTTTAAATTATGATTTTCTCTGTAGTCTGCTTTATTTATCTTTTGTAATGAGACATATAAAATAATTGAAGGCTAAGATGGCATTTGAAGTACAAAAAAATGTAGATTTAAAAATAAGTTTCTGCGCACATATATATTTCCAGAACATGTGAGAAGAGAGATCCTAAAAACAGCCACATGCCAGTAGCAATGAGCATACCTAGAACCCAGATCTTGATTTCTAATACCATTCTCCAGTAAAGGGGATCAAAGTTCACTGGGAAGTAACTGATTCTAAGGTTGGGGCAGGAAAGGACAAGATGATCCTGGAGTATTTTGGAGAACCCTAAAAAGGAAAGAAGTGCTCATACACACACACAAACACACACATAGTACCCTAAAAAGGTAGGAAGTGCTCATACACACACACAAACACACACACACACACACACACACACACACACACAAGTAGCATGATGGGAGCTTGCCAAAGAGGTACAGGAGCCAACTAAAAGAGCTCCTGATGACAAAACTGGAACAATTTGAGCAATAAAATAAATAATATTGGATTGGATTATAACTCAAAGTATAGAAAAATTATCTGTGAGTCCATACTGATATGAATACATAAATAAATGGAGAGAAGAGACAAATTTCCAGTGCAGAATTCCAGATAATTTATGTAGATACTCCACTCTCAAGGAGGTGGATCATAACTTCCTACTCCGTAAATGAAGGTTACACATAGCCTTCCTTCCAAAGAGTACAACATGGAAAGAAAGAGAAAAGAGTAACTCTTAGTGGAAAAACCTGACAAACACTGCCTTAGGTGATCAAATTAAGATCAACATCAGTAGTAAATCACATCGATAGTATGTACCCTTAATGTCAAGCCATCAGGCTAGGATTCAAACCATACTTGACCATGCGAAGGCCAGTTCCCTTAACCACTAAGCTATGGGGTTGTCCCCATTTATTGGGCTTTAAAATCACTTAGAGGCATGGTGGTTAAGGTTCTAGATCTCACATGTCTGATTGTTCATGTCCCAGACCTAGTGACTTGGAAGATGCTACATTTTTCTCAAGTTTTCTGGTATTAATATGTTAGGTTTAAGATATTCTTGTCTTTTGTGAAAACTTTATTTCAGCTTTGTTTGAGTCAATGAATAAAGTATGTTGCATGGTTCCTACATTTTAGTAACTTAGAACCTAGTGAGAGAAACAAGATCTAGAAAGCATGTAACCCAGATGCAAAGGAAGTTATTATATGAGATTTTAAAGTTGAGCAAAGCATGGATATACTGAAGACTGATTTATACAGGGAAAATTTCCAGGAAAACATACTCTTCTATTTCTACAGTAAGGTTTTTAGAAGAGAGGCATTATAGGGATTGATTTAGGGTATCAAAAAGATCTCTACATATGACTTGCTTACTGCTAGAAAGCAAGATATCCGTTGACTAAATGGTTACATTTTGTTTCTGTCAACCAACCTGAAATGCAAGATGACTTAACTAGTCATTTGAGAATTCTTTGTGATAGATAATAAAATTGGTGGCTCAATTTATCACAGTGTGGTCAGAAAGGGCACAGCGTCAGTGGATCCTGTATGATACCCTGCATTCATTTTATGTGTAGACCTGGTTAAATCCTGGTTAAATCTAGCATGTAGATGCTATCGTTTTCTCTTTTGTTTTTCCTTCAGGGTTATCTGCTGCCAAACTCTTGGCTGAACATGATGTTAACGTTTTAGTTTTAGAAGCTCGGGATCGAGTTGGTGGAAGAACACATACTGTGAGGGTAAGTGATTTTAATACTTACATACACATCTCATTCATACTTAAGTGGGACCATTGGAAGTCATAAGTCTAAAGGAGATTTTAAGTGTTTGCCTTCCATAATGCTAAACAGCTCTATCAGGTAATTCCTATTTTCTTCAACAAGCACTCTCTGAACAGTAACAGCCTTTGACCTTCAGTCATTCACATTATAAGGAAGAAAAATGTGAATAAATAACTTAAATACAGTGTCATAATTTCTATCCTATATACATAAGTTGAATATGTCTTATCCCAAATAGGGTTATAGTTTGGCTGGACTGGAAGTGACTGTACACCTACAATACACACACACACACACACACACACACACACACACATACATACACATGCTGTAGGCTCCTAGTTTGTTTATCTAATGTATTTAACTTAACAGAGGTGTCGTGGATGCAGTAAGCAGGAGCAAATCTAGCATATTTTTATGCTACTAATTCTTGAGCCCTTGTTCTCTAAGAGGTATTTTGCTGCCAGAGTCACCCTTTGTTCAGGTTGGGTCTGCATCCGTAAGAGGCCCAGCTCTTACTATATCATTTTTTTTAAAGGTTTTTTGCCATAGTGTGCCATAGTGTGCATGTGCTCACCAGAGAGAGATGGTGAGATGAAAAGTGAGAAATCACCCCTCAGGAGGGATGGCCATGCCATAATACCTTCTCCTCCATTTTCCTTGTGGGATTTTGAGTATCCATGCACACAGACTCAGTGCAATTTTCAAGCTACTGGGTCTGGGATTTGAACTGCAGTCAGTCATGTAGGAGTCTAGCCTGCCCCCTGCTGACTTCATATCATTGCCTTTTTATGTTGGAACTTCCATCACCATTATGGAAAAATTTATGCTAACTGTTGTTTACTATTGTTAAAGGGAATGGGTTGTAGGTGGTTGAATCTGTGGGTGCTGAAGAAAGTATATAAAGAGATAATGAAGTGTAGGAAGGACATAGGGCCAAAGGTGAAAGTTTGGGGCACATATAGAGTGTAGGGAGTACAGAGGCAGAGAAACCAGTAGGAGCAGTTAAAGCAGAGAAGTCAGACCAGACTAGAGCAGTACTGTGGAAGTTAGTGGGAAAAAAGAGGCAGGGATGCTCAACAGAGTCAAACGACACAAGATAAAGACAGAAAAAGAGGTCCTTGCGTTAGACAGTTAGAAGGTTATTAATGAGACCCTTCATGATATGGTTTGAATGTGTCCCCCCAAAGTTCGTATGTTGGAACTTGATTGTATTGTGAAGGTATTAAGAGGAAACTTAATCCAATTATGGTGTTGAAAGGGGGACCTTTGGGAAGTGATTAAGCATTAGGATGGAGCTCTCATGATTGAATCCTGGGAGTATTATAAAGAAAGGGTATGAAACACACACATGGACACAGACATGCACTTCTGCCCTACTCTGTCTTGCTATGTGATACATGAGCAAGAAAACCCTTGCCAGATGTGTTCCCAGGACCTTGGACCTCCAAACTGTGAGATGAATAAACCTCTGTTCTTACAAATCATTCAGTTTCAGATATTCTGTGTTATTATTCACAGAACAGACTATAACACTTTGCTAGAGCACACAAAGTGGTAAGGGCTGAGGATGAGCAGTAAGGACAAAACCAGACCATTGAAGTGACTGAAAGGAGCAGAAGCATCTATGTAACTAGAAGATGTTTTAGTTATACTAAGAACTGAATGGCTTAGTCAGCGATAATAACAATGACTTAAGCAATGCAAGCATTTAATTATTTTACAGAAGAAGTCTGGTGGTAGATAGTCCAGGTTGGTGCAGTGGTTTAGCTGTGTTGTCAAGGCTTCAGGCTCTTGCTCTTTCTGCTCTGCCATTCTTTGCAAGTTGGCGTATTGCCTTGTGTTAACAAGATGGATGCTTGCAAGTCTAAGCATCAAGTCCTCATTCAAGGCAGGAAGGAGAGTGAAGGTGCAGCACCAACCTTGTCTGCCACAAAGTTTTTACTTTGCCTGAAGACCTCAGCAGACATCTGCTTTACTCTTATTGGCCAGAGTTAGGTCACATGGCTGTTCCCAGCAGCTAAGGATCCTGAAAGGCAAGGGTTTAATGTTTCTAGGCAACATAACAGAACCGGGCACGGGACAAGGAAGATGAATAGATATTGGCATAGCTAACCAACACCATCTAAACTATGATATTGTACCTGCTTTCTCAGTCACTCTATGCTATGCTGCCCTTCTAATCATTTGCTTCCTACCTTTTTAGGTATGCGAGGATATATCATAGGTCTATTTCTGCTTTGCTAAACTCTAATAGTGCTCTTCAGTTTTGCTACTCAAAGTGTGGTCTGTGAACCAGCAACCTCAGAATCACCTGGGAGCTTGAAAGAAATGCAGAATCTCATTTATCGATAGAAATGTGAATCTGCATTTTGACAAGATCCCAGGGCGTACTACAGAAGTGCTGCTCTATGGAGTATATTTGCTTGCTCGCTTTAAAGTAATGTAAATCCAGATTAAATTTATTTGGAGAATTTCTGAGTACTCTCTCAGATATAATCAGCTGGGAAGCTATTGGTCTGGGAGTGAGGACACCAGGATTCCAACTCCTGTGTTGGACTGACACACTATCCTGGGTAAGTCTATTTGCACTTTACAGCTCAACTTCATCGTCTGGGCGATAAGACAATCTAAATGTACTCAAAGTACATAATTTTTTTTTCTTTTTTAAAAAACTTTTTATTATTATCATTTATTTCATTTTATTTTATAAATTCAATCACATTATTTAGCTTACAAAGTGAATATTTCAACATGCGAACATTTCTCCCTAGTCCAGTTGATAAAACTATAAAATTATCTTCAACAGATAATACAACATTTCTTTGTCCCATTAATGCTTTGCCTTCTTATTTTTCTTGTAAATGTCCTTCCTCAGACTCTACCCTTTCACACAGACTATATCTGGTATTCACATCCATTTACTGTGTTTCTACATCCTTTAGTCAATTAGTTTCATTCATAGAGTGCAGACACTTGGTATATATTGAGTGAGGACATACAATATCTCTCCTTCATAGCCTGGCTTGCTTCACTCAGCAGTAAATCTTCCATATTCTTCCACTTCCTGTCAAAAGCCATGATTTTTTTTTTTTTTAAGCATTAGGATGGAGCTCTCATGATTGAATCCTGGGAGTATTATAAAGAAAGGGTATGAAACACACACATGGACACAGACATGCACTTCTGCCCTACTCTGTCTTGCTATGTGATACATGAGCAAGAAAACCCTTGCCAGATGTGTTCCCAGGACCTTGGACCTCCAAACTGTGAGATGAATAAACCTCTGTTCTTACAAATCATTCAGTTTCAGATATTCTGTGTTATTATTCACAGAACAGACTATAACACTTTGCTAGAGCACACAAAGTGGTAAGGGCTGAGGATGAGCAGTAAGGACAAAACCAGACCATTGAAGTGACTGAAAGGAGCAGAAGCATCTATGTAACTAGAAGATGTTTTAGTTATACTAAGAACTGAATGGCTTAGTCAGCGATAATAACAATGACTTAAGCAATGCAAGCATTTAATTATTTTACAGAAGAAGTCTGGTGGTAGATAGTCCAGGTTGGTGCAGTGGTTTAGCTGTGTTGTCAAGGCTTCAGGCTCTTGCTCTTTCTGCTCTGCCATTCTTTGCAAGTTGGCGTATTGCCTTGTGTTAACAAGATGGATGCTTGCAAGTCTAAGCATCAAGTCCTCATTCAAGGCAGGAAGGAGAGTGAAGGTGCAGCACCAACCTTGTCTGCCACAAAGTTTTTACTTTGCCTGAAGACCTCAGCAGACATCTGCTTTACTCTTATTGGCCAGAGTTAGGTCACATGGCTGTTCCCAGCAGCTAAGGATCCTGAAAGGCAAGGGTTTAATGTTTCTAGGCAACATAACAGAACCGGGCACGGGACAAGGAAGATGAATAGATATTGGCATAGCTAACCAACACCATCTAAACTATGATATTGTACCTGCTTTCTCAGTCACTCTATGCTATGCTGCCCTTCTAATCATTTGCTTCCTACCTTTTTAGGTATGCGAGGATATATCATAGGTCTATTTCTGCTTTGCTAAACTCTAATAGTGCTCTTCAGTTTTGCTACTCAAAGTGTGGTCTGTGAACCAGCAACCTCAGAATCACCTGGGAGCTTGAAAGAAATGCAGAATCTCATTTATCGATAGAAATGTGAATCTGCATTTTGACAAGATCCCAGGGCGTACTACAGAAGTGCTGCTCTATGGAGTATATTTGCTTGCTCGCTTTAAAGTAATGTAAATCCAGATTAAATTTATTTGGAGAATTTCTGAGTACTCTCTCAGATATAATCAGCTGGGAAGCTATTGGTCTGGGAGTGAGGACACCAGGATTCCAACTCCTGTGTTGGACTGACACACTATCCTGGGTAAGTCTATTTGCACTTTACAGCTCAACTTCATCGTCTGGGCGATAAGACAATCTAAATGTACTCAAAGTACATAATTTTTTTTTCTTTTTTAAAAAACTTTTTATTATTATCATTTATTTCATTTTATTTTATAAATTCAATCACATTATTTAGCTTACAAAGTGAATATTTCAACATGCGAACATTTCTCCCTAGTCCAGTTGATAAAACTATAAAATTATCTTCAACAGATAATACAACATTTCTTTGTCCCATTAATGCTTTGCCTTCTTATTTTTCTTGTAAATGTCCTTCCTCAGACTCTACCCTTTCACACAGACTATATCTGGTATTCACATCCATTTACTGTGTTTCTACATCCTTTAGTCAATTAGTTTCATTCATAGAGTGCAGACACTTGGTATATATTGAGTGAGGACATACAATATCTCTCCTTCATAGCCTGGCTTGCTTCACTCAGCAGTAAATCTTCCATATTCTTCCACTTCCTGTCAAAAGCCATGATTTTTTTTTTTTTTATGGCTGAATAGTACATTTTTTAATTCTAATTGAAGGCAGTTTGTT